TTGTATAGGTAGTAGGCACTTACTTCAATCTTGGATATGAGTTGCTTATGGATTGAAATCCTTGTTCTTCTTTGCATGTCAAGTTGATTTTGAGGTTTGAGAGGTTGATTTGGAAGTGACAGTTTACCCTATGTGGGAATGAGTGCTCAAATAGTTGTGTTGGTTCTTAGATGCTTCATTTGTGTATATATGAGTGGCTATCTTGCTTTCTTTTGTCTTTGAAGTAAAAAAAAAAGAAAAAAAAAGAAAAAAAAAAGAAGAAGAAAAAAAAAGAGAGAAATATGTTTGGGCTTGGGCATTGTGTGATGATTGAAATTGGTGGATTTACTTTCATGTGTATTTTTGACTCATTCCCCATTGCTCCTCTATTTTCTTTGGTAGCTTCTTACCCATACATTCCATACCTTGTCCTTAGCCCCATTACAACCTTTGAAAGTCCTTTTGATCTTTATGTGCATGTGTTTTTGGTTGTTGATTTTAGAGACTTGTCAAATCTATGTGGTGCTTGTTTTTCGTGGGTGTTTTGAGAGTAAATAGTAGCCTAAACACTTGAATGATACAATGCATATCTTGTTTGCTTTTCATTCACCTATTGAGCAGATTGATTTTCTTAACATGTTTTGAATTTTTTGGACGATGTCCATAGATGCCTGGTTTCTTAGACTCTTTGAGTGTTGAAGGTTGTCTATTTCTTTCGTTTCCCATGTTTCATTAAGGAGAATGTAATTCTGTTTATGTTTTTGTTTGTCGTTGTTTTTGTTTATGTCCTTTGCATGATTCTCTTTAATGTTTTTGGATTTATTTCCTTGTTTTGCTTCTTGACTTTGCCCAGGAGTGCAAAAGGCTAAGTGTGCGGTAATTTGATGAGTAATTATATTCTCATATTTTCTTACATTTCTGTACTTATTTTAATTAGTATTTTGGGTTTAACTATCTGTTATTTAGTGAATTTTTATTAATTGGACTTTATTGGGCCAATAATTCAGATTTTTATTAACTTAAATCTATCTTATCTAATTTTTGCTCATTATTATTTTTAGAACAGTTTAAAGCAATTTTGGGCTTGGAAGATTGGGCCAGATGCCATGCCAACTGTCCATTAGGATTAGGGTTTTGTTTTATTTGTTTATGATGTGTTTTGCGGGCCAGTGAGCCCAAACCTAGATTAAGATTAGGGTTTAGGGTTATTTATGTTAGTGATCACGTAGAGTTAAAAAAGAAAAAGGAGGCACATCAAAATGCACATCACGCAGAGGGGGACACACATCACGCAGGCGCATCCTCCGAACGCCATTTTTGTCTTCTACATTTTACATTCACGTTTGTTTACTCTTATGTCATTATTTTTAACACATTCTTTGTTTCAATTTTAATTATGTCTCTTCTTCTCCATTTCGATTTTTCTATGGATAGCTAAATCTTTGTATTGATTTTCTGAGGAGAAGGCAGTAGATCTTTGATGTTTTGTTCTTCTATTTCATTTGTTCTCTTAACTCTTCATCTCTTAATCTCAGTGTTGAATTATAATCTGTTTATGCTTAATAAACCGAATCCAATATCACAGTTTGATTAATCCTGTGTTAGAGATGAGATTATGAGATGTATGCAATGCTTAATTATATAAGGATAATTTTGGTTAATCTTCGCTTAGTTGGTTAATTTCGAGTTCGAATAAGGGTTAAAGCAATCTAATTTCGTAACCTAGGATAAGTGACATTGTATTCGAATCAGAAATCAATTGTTTTCTCACTAGTTTACTCAAATTCTATATATTTTCGTTAATTTCAAATTTAATTATTGCATTATTTTATTTTAAAACAATTTTTTATTCTTGCACTTTTAATTAAAAGTACTTTATTTTAATTTTATAAATTTTAATTATTTAAATTACTGTTTCCATTTAATTTTAATTGTCGTTAATATTCTATAGCAATTTGATTTTAATTATTTTGTATCAATTTATTTCATTTCACTCTTTCATTTATTCCCTTATTTACTTGTTATTTGATGTTTTAGAGAGAATGATATGTGATAATGAATATGTTCCTATAATTGTGTCCTTATGATATTTGATACTGGATTAGCTATACTTGTATTAATTTAGTAACTTATTTATTATTTTTTATCGGTATTTTGTGCGATCGAAATACTTGTTATTAGTTGGTGGATGATATCATGTTTGTATATGGAGTTGAATTTAAGTGGCCATTGATTGATAGAAGCATAATTTGGTGATCAACTTTGGTTAATGTGTGATTATTTACTTAGTCTTTTGAAATCTATTTTTTTTATAAGGTTCATGATTGTGTTAGAGCTTTGAGAGCACGAGAAAGTTAGATTTCAAAATGGATGAAGATTGGATTTTCTTTTTCCAATTCGAAATTAATTTCCCCTTTTATATGTGATGTAATGTTTTTTTATTTTTTTATATCTTGATCAAGACCACTGACTTTGTTATGCAACTCCTTAATAAATTTTTGTAAAATATTTATTGTGAATATTAAATTTCAAAAAATTTATTGTTTAAAGACAATTTACTTTTTAATAAAATTAATATAAAAATTCATAAAAAAAATTCTGAAAAATTTTGCAAAAAGTTCATAACATGAATCTCATAAAAAATATTTTTTTATTAATGGCAACACTATTTTTATATAATTATGGATGGTATTATATATATATATATATATATATATATATATATATATATATAATTTGTATAATAAATATATTTAATGATTTTTTTACACGTATATTTATTATAATTTAAGAGGTAAATCTTAACTACTTTAACATAGTTTCAGGACAAAATAAAGTTCTCTATGACTTTACATTTAATTAAGAATATAAAAAATGAAGGAAGGATCAATAAATTTTGAGAGGTTTATTTTTAAAAAAATAATCTTATAATCTTATAAATAACATGTTTTGATGATTAGATTAAGAAAATAAAATAAAGATAAAAAATTATAATTATCTAAAGGATTATAAAGTATTTGTATACCAAAGTTATCAATTATTACATTAAAAAAAATGAATTTTTTTTGCTAAAAAGGACCAAACCAATGTACACATCCATTTGTTTCTTATAGTAGTTGTACTTTTAATCATTGTTGAATCTAGTTTTAGTTCATTGAAAGAGAAACTAGAGAATAGAGAAATGGTATATGATTGCGAAATAAATATGTTATTTATCCTTTATTATTCAAAATTTACTTTAAAACATCCTAATACCATTATACTTGAACATAAATGGTCATACAAATGACTTGATCAATTACATTTTATTTGTTATATATGTAACTTATACTTAGGGATGAAAATTAAACCCGTACATGTGGGATCGACCAGTCTCAGCTCGAGTTTGATGGGAAAAACCGAGTTGACTAGAGACGAGCGGCGATTTGGGTTTTCCTTACTTTAAAAAGTCGGGGACGAGGATGAATAATACAATCCCCACCCCAACCTCGTTTCGACTTTATATTTAAATTTAAATTTTAAAATATTAATATTTTAAAAATATTTCCTTTTTTTATTACATATAAGATCATTTTTTTATATTTCACCATTTTTATTTTTCTTCTACCCACTTTTTAATTTTTTTTGTCTTTTTTAATATTTTATATTAATTAATTTATTACATTATTCTCTTTCTTACTTTTCAGTTTTTTATATTTTCTTAATTTTTCCCATCAATTTGTTTTTTTTAATCTTTTTAACTAATTTGATAAATACAATTTTTTTTCTTCTTTATCTTTTTTTAAATAGTTTATATAAATCTTATTAATAATTAATATTATTTTATTTATAATTTATATTTATTAAATTTTATTATGTCATTTTTTTATATTATTATTCTTATTTATCATTAAAACATAATTTATTGTTTTGTGTAATCGTTTATATTGATTTACTAGAATCATAAAAGACAATATATTTATATATATTAACATAACTAATTATATTATTATCAAATATTTTATTTTAAATTATTTATAATCGATTTAAATAATTGGTAATTTAAAAATATTTCATTATTTTAATTAAAATTATTTTTCTTATATATTTTAAACCAAAAAATGTATAGAATAATTTATAATTATTTATTTTTATTCTGATCTTACCTACTTTCTTGAAATTCAAAAATAATATTTTAAATAAATGAAATAGTGTATTATGATTTATTTATATATTAATTATCTATTTTTTATTAAAAGTTTTTTTTTCTTTTGCACATGACTAAATTATTCTCAAACATCAAATTTACTATATGCAACTAAATTATTTGTATTTATAATTACTATACATTTTATATAAGCCATTTGTGTATTTATTAAAATTTAATCCTCTCTTCTCCTAATCATTGGCAATTATGCACAAATCACGCCCAATCCAAACACACAACTAAATCAAAGAAGAGAGAAATAACAATGAACAACAGATCTGTTACAGTTGTTGATATTTTTTCATGTGAGTTTCAATCTATATCGAATGCCACATTGTTGTCATTTCGCTTTCTTTTGTCACTGCAACGAAATCTCAGTGTCATTCGCCCCATTTAATTTTGTTGCAAAGTCAATTTTGTATCCTACCTTCCGCCTAACCATTGTTGTCCCTACTCCGTGGAGTTCGCAAGTTTTGCTTTCAGCCACAGTTTCTCTGCATTTGTTTTATTTATTAAGTTTTGATTTGATTCATTCGTTTCCAATTAGAGTTGCGGCTGGATTGGGGTGGCGTAATTGTGAAAAAGTTTGATTTTTTTATTTGATGAATATCTTGTTGTAAGATGTGAAATTCTTGAATATGAAAGTTTGGCTTGGTTAATTTGTTGTTGTAATATTTTTGAATGTGAAAGTTTGGTTTTGATTTTAATTTTAATTGGTTGAATTTGGAGAATGAGGGGATTTTAGATGTGATTTTCGCTGCAATGTCTTATTTGGATTTTCAGGTTCATGGGATGTATGTAGTCTCTGCGAAACTTTGAGGAATTGCCGCTGAGAATGGCTGACGTAGCAGGTCTAGTTGACGTTTCGGGATCAAGATTCACTTCATTAGAGCTTATTGGGCAGGGATCGTTTGGGGACGTCTATAAAGCGTAGGTGTTCTCATCTTGTGTATAATCAAACTAACTTTGCGCATGAAAATAATAGTAATGCAGTTTGTTTATTTATTGGACCAATGAATAAAAAAATTCTTTAGATGTCTATTTGATAAATCCAAGATTTGATGATATTGTGAATAAAGAGCCATTAGTGCATCCAAGCCTTAGATAAACATAATTTGGATAATAGTTTATTATGGTAAAGGAAATGATGTCATGGAAATAATTTGGATAATAGTTTATTATTGTAAAGAACAATGTCTGATCAAGGATTAGTTTGAATTCTATGAAGTTGAAAAAATAAAATTATGGAAGTTGGGAAAGTAAAATTGAGCCTTATTTTTTATAACAAAATTTGAGTCTCATTTATTAGGAGTAAAATTGAACTCATCTTTTAATAGAAAAATTTAATTCCAATGTTTACCTTGTCTTGCTGAACTTTCATTTCATGTACTATGGTTTTATATCAGTTAAATGAAGCTAGGTGATTCCAAGTATTTTCTCCACAACTCTAGTTTACTTTTTTCTCGCTTGACTCTTCCACTAGAACTATATCGTATGCAAAAAATATGTGCATTGAGGCATTGTATCCTGGATTGGATATGCTGAATATGAATTTTCAAATTATGGTAAAATACAAGGGTTGTGTAAACCTATAGAACCCATACATCTATCCATGAATTGTCACAAACTTTGACTAAGTTTAATGGTTTTTATCTATTGCCTAATTCTATCCTCTTATTTTATAAGGATTTGTAACTGTCTTTATTTGCAACAAAGCACAAGATAGACTCTTAAGATAAAAAGAAGGATATATGTCCTTTCCAGATGAGTTTCACTTCAAAACTTTTCCATTATTATAACAAGTCCATGTTGGCTTTTTATTTTCTTTTTCTGCTTGTACTTGTTTAAAATTTAATGTGAGGTGTACAGTCTAGAGCATTACACACTGAAAATATAATTAGAAAAAGCATTGCTGGCTTCTTAAGATGACATGTCTAGTTCTGAGAGGGCTATACCTTGGTAGCAGATAAACATTGCCAAGCATATGTGTTGCATGCTTTTGTGCTTATTGGTAGGTAGTAGTTAATAGTTGTGTTTAACTAACTATCTTTTTATGGACATAACAAGGTTACTGAAACTATAATTTACAAGTCATGATCATTGGAAATTCTTATGTTGTGCAAAGTAAAACCGTGTCTGGTACTTACTTGAGCCCTGTTTGGTGAAAATATCCGAATAGAATTTTACTGGCAAGAACAAAAAGGATCTATTGTAGCAAGTTTGTGGGTATTCATTATATAATCAAGAGAAAGAAAATAATAAAAAAAGAATACATCTAGGAACTTCCACAAGATTATTTGCTTTTTGCTGTCAGTCATCACTGTAACATAACATAAATGTATAAACGACATTGTCAAGAACTAGTTATTATTCTTTGAACATCTTTTATTTACTGGCGTTGAGTTAGACATGAACAATGAGTTTTCTGTTTCTTTGTTGTATTATCTTATCTCCAGGTTTGACAGGGAGCTCAACAAAGAAGTCGCTATCAAAGTAATCGACTTGGAAGAATCGTATGTCTGTTCTCCCCCTTATATTATTTTTAAGAATGTTTTAATTCTTGGAACTGCTGTATTGGGCAGCCATATTAGGAGTGGTTACCAATTTTATAGCAATGAGAACCTTAGAATATTATGAAAACATATTTCATTACATTATAAAAGATTTCTTGTCTAGAAAAATCCAAGTCAATCCTGGATAGGGGCAGGGAACAGCCACCCCCAAAAACACTATAGCTGGATGACCGCAATTGTGGAGTCAAGCAAACAATATGCGTCATATGATAAGTACGCTAGCACTTGGGAACTCACCCTTAAAAGCTAGTTATTAAGGGGTAAAAATCAAACACTTAAATCCTTGACTGAGCATTTTATACTATTTGGGTCTTAGGACACCCCCATGATACCGAAGTCCCTATCATAATAATTTTGTTACACACATGTAAATATTGAAAAAATAGAAACATATCAATATTAATAATCACAATCCATTGTCATTCTGATAGGAATGGGTTGGCTAATAAGGAGGAAGACATATTGGTTAACAAAGAAAATGTTGGGCCCACGATTTGGTGTGTGTATGAGAGAAGAAATAAAAAAGGGGTCTTAAGGAAAGCTTGATAATACGTGGCAATTCTGTTAGGCAATTCTCTTAATAAAAGCATAGTGAGAATTAGTATGAGTCAGTTTTGTATTTTTCAAATTTACCTAGGTTGCTTCTCTACTGTGGAGCTTTGCTCTAGGTTTGTGACATTTTTCTTAATTCACACATTTAAGAAATACTTTCTCATCTATTCTTGATCTCTGCTCTGTTAACGAATATGTCTTCCTCCTTATTAACCAACCCATTCCTATCACATTCTCATATCATTCAAATTAAATACTAAAAAAGACTAGTTATCAAATTTAGTATGTTGCCTAGTGCCTATTACAATAAGAATTACTTTCTCCATTTCCTAGTTCTTTCTCATCATCGTTCTCTTTTTCCTCATCATCAATGATATGTTCTTCCTCCTCTTCAATATCTTCTGCCCTAGTGAATGTAATGTGTTGTATAGTGACTCTACCTATCTCACCAATCCCACTTGCATCCCTAACAACTCTCAAAGTCAAGCTATCATTGCCAAAAATCGGTTCATCTTCAACTGCTTCTCCATCTTCACCCATTTTCCCTATTTATGTGATGCATTTAGTAGTTCTTATTAAGTCTCACTTTAGCTAGAATTATGTACTTGTCATCTCGGACTTAGTCTTTGCATGTTCATTTGTCCTTTTTTCCATCTCTGTTGAGTTTGTTATGCTTATGGTGTTTTTGTGTCTCAAGAGAGGATTTTACCATTATTAGAGGTTCTCAGGGAATGTTTGAATGCATTATGGAGCTTGCAAAATTCAAAGAGTCAAAAAGGCTGAAGTGGAGTGACCAGGTTTGCCTCAACATTACCCACCCTTCAAAGGTTTCATAAACCAAAAAACCTTGGAAGAGTGGCTGAACACGAAGACTGGAAAAGTGAAATGGAGAAAAGAAACTCTTCTACCCAAATCTTATATGAATTAAATGAAACTGCTTATTGTTTTCTTATTTTTCAACTGAGTTGGTGTATGATGCTCTTCTCTGTCACAAAGGTGTCCTGTGCTGTATCATTCTCCTTTCCACTCTAAGTCGAAAAGCACATAGAACTGTTTAATTTATTTCATTGGAAATTTCCCCATATTCTTTACTGTTTAGAGCCTCTTCATCTTCTTTCTTAGTAAATTACATATGGGAAAAGGTGAAATGAGGGTGAGCTTAACTTGGGGAGAAGCATTTGGACTCCAGAAAGAAATAGGTCAGTAGATTTCTACACAAAAATCTGATGGTGCAATTTGAATTGCTCTGCAAATTCTCACTGAAAATTCCAAGAGCTTGATTTGTTCCTTTATACATGGCAATCTTGTTCAACAAGGTAAATTACAAGGAAGCAAAATTTGCTTCCTTGACTGAATTGGACAGTGCAATCTGCATGGAATTGGAGGCTGACTAAGAGACTCTGCTTATGATAAGAAAAACTTTCTTTCTATGAGGAAAGTAAAATGCACCACAATAGTTGATTCTGCAATGCAGTAACAATTAACAAATGGTGGATCTTCCACATCCTTGATTTTATTGTTCTCCGTTAGAAGGCTGAACATTATTATCAGAACTGAAGTATTTTATTTTCATTTTAATATGCATTTCATGCTTTTTGCACTGCTATGAAGTTGGTTTATATTGAGTATTTTAGTTAGAGATTTTCTGTCGTACAAGGTCACAAATCTTATGAACATCGTATTTTTGCTGTGTTGCACTCTGAATCTATATGATTTTCTTCCTTAATACTTCCTAACCTGTCTTTCCTCTCTTTTTTTCACTTCACAGAGAGGACGAAATTGATGATATCCAAAAGGTATAATTTGGTAGATTACTTCTACCTGACATTTGCTGTACTCAAATGTTTATGTTTTGATTTTGTTTAATATTTGCAGGAAATTTCTGTTTTGTCCCAATGTCGATGTCCATACATTACTGAGTATTATGCTTCCTATATCAATCAAACTAAACTTTGGATAATAATGGAATACATGGCTGGGGGCTCAGTTGCTGATCTAGTAGGTTACATCTGTTTCCTTGCTTCTATATGTTCAGTGCATGAGGATTGAAATTGATGTATGCTTTAATTAAACTTCCCCTGCGTATCCATGGACTGTGATATATTTTTTACTTCCTTTTTCATAAGAAAAGAGAATAGAAAAGACAATGAAATTGCAAAGAGTTAGGACTTAGGAGTATAAAGACCATCCTTTAAGAAAAGCTAGGAAAAGGCAACCAAATGCTTTGCAGAGGACAACTAAGAGAAAAAAATGGTTACTTGAATTCTTGGACTATAATTTTTTACTATAGAAAATAGTTACAAGCATATAGAAGAGTGTCCAAGGAGGAACATTAATGGTTGGGGGTACTCAGTACTTTAGGAGTTGACTGCAGGGGATGGGCTACGTTTAGACTCCAATGGACCAAAGAAATGATATCCATAAAACTGGACTATAATATTACATACTTGAATGAAGTTTGATGTTTTAATTGTAATTCCTGCTGGTTATAATATAACCTTGTTTTTGGTATATGGAAACAGAATTTGTGGATTGATGTTGGCGGAGTTTGTTTGTATGAGTATGCATGCTTATACCTTTTTCCTTTTACCTTCTGTCTCGTTATTTTCTTCTCAGTTGTTGTTCTAGGGAGCCTTTTTATACTTCTTTGTACTTTCCCTGTTATTAAATCTCTGTCATTAAAAACCGAAAAAACAAAGTTCATATTTTGAATAGTCAGTTTTTGTGTGGCTATTTATCATATTTATATCTGTTGACATTGATTTCTTATTTGGTTATATGTTTTATTTTTTCTGTGAAGTTAATTCTGGTCTTGCTTCTGTAGCTCCAAGCAGGTCATCCCCTTGATGAAATGTCAATTGCTTGCATTCTACGTGATTTGCTGCATGCTGTTGATTATCTGCACAGTGAAGGGAAAATTCACAGAGACATTAAAGGTATCCGCAGCAACCCCGCCACCTTTGAATTTGTACTTTGAATTTCTTATCCTTGTCCATATGTGGCTATGTTATGGGATTTTCTTTTTGTTTTATATTAGCTTTATAAGTGACAGTGTTTACTTGTCAATTATACAGCTGCAAACATTTTATTGACTGAGAATGGTGATGTAAAGGTACGTTTTATTCTGCTGGAAGAGGTTATATCCAATTTGTTTATTTTATATGATTTCATTGAGAAATGATGCACATAATCACTTGAGATGGGGACTTACATACATGTGAAATGTCACCAGGTTGCAGATTTTGGTGTTTCTGCACAATTAACAAGGACTATATCAAGGAGAAAGGTGAATGTATTTCATTGAAGTTAATTGAACATGGATGGATTATTAGTTTAGTTTTTTGTTCGTTACATTTTGATAAAAGTTTATGTCTGTTATGTTATGCTTGATCATCTTAATCTTAAGTTCTTAACATCATTTCAAGAGCAAAAAATTGTTCTTTTCTTCAATTGGATAATCAAATTGAATGTATAAGACTCCCAAAGTGAAGGAATGGTGGTGCCGAATATTGTGTCTTGGTGTAGTTTGAGTTGGGCAAACTGGGGTACAACTAGGCCAGTGTTTACATATGGAATACCAAGATAATCATACAAGAGGATATGCCTCCACCTTCAACCCAAAACCTTAAGGCAATAGATTTGCATATATTTTTCAGTTATAAGTTATTCAACTTTCTCATTTCTATTCAATATAAGACTGTAACTCACTTAAATTCCAACAATTTGCTTGTATCAATTGTATGTTCCTGTCAAAACCCTCACTGTATTTAAGGCTTTGTATAGTTGAAAAACCACCTGGAGTTCTACATTATTACTCTTCATCTTAGGCTGGATATGGTAACAACATTTTTTTTTATCGGAACAGACATTTGTAGGAACACCATTCTGGATGGCGCCTGAGGTTATTCAGAATACTGACGGATATAATGAGAAGGTCGTAATATATTTATTCTATATATCTTCTGTTATGTTTCTCTTCGGTTCTGTTTTTTCCACCTTTATTTTAGTTTCTGCTAATTATTGTTTTCTCAGAATCGTCACTGGAGTGTTCTGTTTAAATAGGCAGATATTTGGTCTTTGGGGATCACTGCTATTGAGATGGCAAAGGGGGAGCCTCCACTTGCTGATCTTCACCCAATGAGAGTGCTTTTCATCATACCCCGGGAGAGTCCTCCACAGGTTGTGTTCTTTGGTATCAGTATTTCAAGTTCTGAACAATTTCAAGAACTTACGCCCAGATGTTACTTTTTCCAGCATAACAATTGACATTTAATCCCATTTTCTTCAGTTAGATGATCATTTTTCCCGTCCAATGAAAGAATTTGTCTCATTGTGCTTGAAGAAGGTTCCTGCTGAGGCAAGTTTCTATGCTTTTCATACACTTATTATTTCATTTTCTTCAGTTCTATTGAGCATAGTTGCAATGAAAGGTTCTGCTTTATGAGTCGCTTTGTGGATTGTTGAGAGCATCCATAAGATGTAGCTTGTTATACTGAATATGCTTTTCTAGAACATATATTTTTTTGGGGAAAAAGGTAATAATAAGAAATATTAATTGAAATTTAGGGCTTAGGGTATGTTAATTTGCATCCTAATTTAGTCATAACAGAAATAACAGATTTATTTGTTTATATTTTTCCTGTTGAAATTTGTAGTTGCAACTTGGTGTGATGTATTATTTAGTTTTCCCTAATTAGAAGCTTTTTAGACTAGCTTGGAGTGGAACTGGTGAAGTTGATCTGTCTCTGTCAGGCTCTAAATTCCCCCCTTTTAATGGATTCAATTCCAGAGGCCAAGTGCTAAGGAACTTCTCAAGGACCGTTTTATTCGGAATGCTAGGAAGAGTTCAAAGCTTGCAGAAAGAATAAGGTGCGAATCATTGATAAAGGTCTCATTATATTTATATACGTAATTGTACCTGCTTTTGCTTTTGACTATTAATTTTCTCCATCCCGATTCTTCCATTTTATTTTTTATAAAGCTGATGTGAACATGACCTATGATAAGGGCCAGAGTAAGGGAAGCAAATGAAGCTCTTCAACAAGTATTGTTGGTTGACCAAATTGTGTTTTGGATTAATCAATTAATGGACTTTATTTTAGTTTTATTGCAAGTTGTAATAAGGGCCCAATTGGAAATTTAGTTATCAGTCTTTGGGAGACCAAGAGGGTGCATAACTGATTGACTTTTGGATGCTGCAATTTCAATTACAATCAATCATTAAGTAGTTTTCAATTCCTAGGTTAATAAATCATTATTAGCATTTATTTTCCTTTAATGAATATTTGTAACTCTGATAGCAAAGCTTCTTTATAAATTGAACCATTTTTATCAAAAATAACAAGTGGAATTTTATTCAGAAATATTAGAGTACTGATGTGAATCACAAGGGGTAATTTAGGATATTTAGGGTTAGAACCTTGTAATAAATTTAGGAATTAGAAAGAAGGTGGAAGGAAAGAATCAATCTTCCCAAGGGAGGCAACACACAAAGGATGTGACAGTCCTTTGATTAAGCCAAGTGTTCTTGAATCACTCAAGAACTTAGGAGAATCACTCTTACTAAGATAAAAGAGATAAATTCTAATATTTCTAAAAATAAAACTCAACTTGTTATTTCTGATAAAAATGGTACAGCTTATAAAGAAGTTTTGCCATCAGAGTTACAAATATTCATTAAAGAAAAATAAATGCTAATAATGATTTATTAACCTAGGAATTGAAAACTACTTAATGATTGATTGTAATTTAAATTGTGACATCCAAAAGTCAAATCAGCTATGCACCATCTTGGTCTCCCAAAGACTGATAACTAAATTTCAAATTGGGCACTTATTACAACTTGCAATAAAACTAAAATAAAGCCCATTAATTGATTAATCCAAAACACAATTTGGTCAACCAACAATACTTGTTGACGAGCTTCATTTGCTTCCCTTACTCTAGCCCTTATCATAGGTTATGTTCACATCATTCTCTCCCTCTTAAAAAGGATTTGTTCTCAAATTGGATTCGTCATCTACATTGAAAAGAGATAAGTCTGACAAATTGAATGTAGAACTAACATTATACTCACTTTTTATGGCTAAATAACTCTCCTTCACTTCAAATGTTTCACTCTTCTTTTTTTTCTCTCTTTTCTTGAAGAAATTTTTCTCTCATTTTCTTTTTATCCTCCTCTGCCATCAATTTGATGTTCAAACCTTTAAACCGGAGCTCTGAATACCAACTGATGATATGAATCACAAGGGGTAATTTAAGATCTTTAGGGTTAGAACCTTGTAAGAAATTTAAGAATTAGAAATAAAGTGGAAGGAAAGAATCACTCTTCCCAAGGGAGGCAACACACAAAGGATGTAACAGTCCTTTGATACAGCCAAGTGTTCTTGAATCACTTAAGAACTTAGGAGAATCACTCTCACTAAGATAAAAGAGATAAACTCTAATATTTCTAAAAATAAAACTCAACTTTATTTCTGATAAAAATAGTTCAGCTTGTAAAGAAGTTTTGCCATCAGAGTTACAAATATTCATTAAAGGAAAATAAATGCTAATAATGATTTATTAACCTAGGAATTGAAAACTACTTAATGATTGATTGTAATTGAAATTGTGGCATCCAAAAGTCAAGTAGCTATGTACCCTCTTGGTCTCCCAAAGACTGATAATTAAATTTCCAATTGAACCCTTATTACAACTTGTAATAAAACTCTGGAAAATTAGATTAACTGAAATATGATTTTTTATTATATCAATACAAAGAGATGATATAAGATATATACAGGAGACCTAAGCTATTTTAGGAAATATAATAACTCTATTTTATGCTAGGATCCCTTGATTTATGGGATTGTTCCTAATTATTCAAATCTGTACAGATTACAAGGAAATATACAAATTTCCTGATTTATTCTTTCCTAAAATACTATTTGATTTCCCACACTCACCCTCAAGCTGGTGAATAGATGTTTTCCATTCCCAGCTTGGATACAATCTTCTCAAAATTATGGCAGCCCAGTCCCTTGGTAAGAATGTCTGCAATTTGGTCTTGAGAGGACACATATGGAGTGCATATCAAACCATTATCAAGCTTTTCTTTGATGAAGTGTCTGTCTACTTCAATATGCTTTGTTCTATCTGTTGCACTGAGTTGTGGGCTATACTGATTGTTGACTTATCATCACAATAGAGCTTCATAGGTTCTTCTCACTTTATCCTCAAGTCTTCTAAGATGATTTTAAGCCATAGCAACTCACATATACCTTGTGCCATTGCTCGGAATTCTGCTTCAGCACTGGACCGAGCCATTACACCCTACTTTTTGCTTCTCCAAGTCACAAGATTTCCTCCAAGAAAGGTGCAATATCCTGTAGTTGACCTCCTATCCACAATTGACCCTGCAGAATCAGCATCAGTATAGGCTTCAAGCTTCACATTACCATTCCTTTTGAATAGAATCCCTCTTCCTGGAGTTCCTTTAAGGTACTGTAAAATTCTCTGGGTAGCTTGTAAATGGGTCTCCTTTGGGCTATGCATAAATTGACTAATTAAACTCACTGCATAGGCAATATCTGGTCTGGTATGTGACAAATATATAAGTTTGTCTACTAATCTTTGGTACATATCTTTTTCAACAGCAACATCTTCTTCTGCATTTCCAAGCTTTAGGTTTGGTTCTAATGGGGTACTAGCAGGTTTGCAAGCTGTCTTGCCATGCTGAGATATAAATATCCCTTTCTCGGAGTGGGCAACTTCAATTCCCAAAAAATATTTTAGTTTTCCCAAGGTCTTGGTCTCAAATTCCTTGCCTAAGCATTGGCTCAATAATTGCTGCTCTTCTTTATTATCTCCAGTTAATATTATGTCATTCACATACACCAATAATATTGTTACTCCTCCTGACTCGGAATGTTTAAAAAACAAAGTATGGTCCCCTTGGCTTTGTTTGTAACCCAGACTTGTCATAACTTTAGTAAATCTGCCAAACCATGCACGGGGGGACTGTTTTAACCCATATAATGCCTTTTTCAGCTTGCAAACAGTGTTGGCAGCAACATCTTTACCATATCCCGGAGGTATCTCCATATAAATTTCTTCTTCAAGGTCTCCATGTAGGAAAGCATTCTTAACATCAAATTGTTCCAAGTTCCAACCATAATTGGCAGCAAGGGACAATATCACCCTAACTGTGTTCATTTTGGCAACCGGAGCAAAGGTCTCCAAATAATCAACTCCATAGGTTTGGGTGAACCCTTTGGCAACTAGTCTTGCCTTATATCTCTCAATTGATCCATCAACCTTGTATTTCACTGTATAGACCCATTTACATCCAACTGGCCTCTTTCCTATTGGTAAGGTGACTAACTCCCAGGTGTTGTTCTTCTCCAATGTCTCCATCTCTACATCCATGGCTTGCCTCCATTTTCTGTCAGACAATGTCTCAGATAGGGTATTAGGTAGAAGTGCAGTGTTTAGGTTTACTAGGAAGGTTTTATGGGTAGGAGAGAAATTTTTAAAGGACATGTAATTTGAGAGAGGGTAGAGTGGTTGTTTGGTGCATTTTCTTGTTCCTTTTCTAATGACAATTGGGAGGTCAGGATCATTTTGGGTTTCAATTTCAACCTGCACAGCTGGAGAAAAAATTGTTACCTCTTTTTGTGGAGTCGAGTTGGATTCTTGAACATGGCTTGATCCTGGAATGGCCTTAGTCTTCCTTGAGTATACCAGCTTCTTACCAAATTTTCCAGCTTCAACATCTTCTTGATCAGCTTCACAATTAATTTCACTTTCTTGACCAACTTCCTTTTCTTGACCAATTCCTTGACTTGTTTCATTTGTTACAACTTCAATTTGATCTCGTTTAGGTTCAAATATCAAGTCTGGAAGAATGGAAAAACCAGAATTACTACTTTCAATATGATTTCGTTTAGGTTTGTTAAGGTTCCAACATAAAACCAATTGGCAATATGTGGAGTAGCCTAACATGTATTTAAACCATACCAAATGATATGAGGTAGGTGATGTGGGACTTTCAACACACCCCCTCCAACGAAGCCCGCCGGACCAGGCAAAGGGTACTTTTGACCCAACTAAAGGGCAACTTTTGGCCCATGACAATAACCGGAAAGATGTTAGGCTTTGGCTCTGATACCATGTTAAGGTTCCAACATAAAACCAATTGGCTATATGTGGAGTAGCCTAACATGTATTTAAATCATACCAAATGATATGAGGTAGGCGATCTGGGACTTTCAACAAGGTTCAAATGTCAAGTCTGGAAGAATGGGAAAACCAGAATTACTACTTTCCTTATCTTCCTTATCTTCCCTGAAACTCTTCCCCTGAAGATAAGGTTGATGGAAATAACCCTCTTGTTCATTGAAGGTAACATCCCTAGACACAAAGAATTTTTTGGATGGGGAGTGGTAGCATTTATACCCTTTTTAAGTGGGTGAGTAACCAACAAAGACACATTTTAAGGCTCGAGGATCAAGTTTCCCCCTGTCTGTACTATGAATATGGACATATGAGATGCACCCAAAAACTCTTGGTTTAACATTATTTGTAGTAGACAAGTTTGGATAGAAAGACGACAAAGCTTCCATAGGGCTTTTTGATCCTAAGACTCTAGAGGGTAGTCTATTGATAAGGTATGTTGTTGTAAGGACAGCTTCCCCCCAGAAATTTTTTGGGACACTTTTTTGGAACAACAATGTCCGAGTCTGATTTAATAGATGTCCATTTTTCCTCTCTACGACCCCATTCTTTTGTGGTGTTTTGACACAAGAGGACTCATGAATTATACCTTCTTTTTGACAAAAAGAATTAAGAACATGATTGAAGTAATCTTTGGCATTATCTGACCTAAGCCTCTTAATATTAACACCAAACTGATTTTTTATCATGGAGTGGAATTTTAGGAAGACAGAACTGACTTCTGATTTTTGTTTAAGTAGGAAAACCCAAGTGACCCTTGTACAGTCATCTGTAAAGGTGACAAACCATCGAGTACCAGACACATTTGGAATATTAGAAGGTCCCCATACATCAGTATGAACAAGATAGAAAGGGACATTGCTAATTCTATTACTTATTGGAAAAGATATACGCTTGTGCTTAACAAGTTCACACACCTCACAATGAAGACTCTCAACATCTAACTTGGTAAACAGATAGGGAAACATAATTTTGATCACTCCAAAAGAGAGATGTCCCAACCGACAATGATAAAGCATGATTTTTTCTCTCTTGGTCATCAAGGATTCAGATATAAAGGAGTGAGAGATTCTATTCTTGCTGGGCAGACTTGGATCTTCGAGATAATAAAGGTCATTTCATTCTCTAGCATGTCCAATCATCCTCCCCGAATCCTTGTCCTGAAATATACAATGATCGTTGAAAATACAACTTTACATGACAAATCTTTTATAAGTTTTTGTATAGACACTAGGTTCGTGGACAGCTTTGGGACATGAAGAACATCTTTTAAGGTTATTAAAGGATTGATTTGGATATTTCCTTGACCAGTTGCAGTTATAAGGGTTCCATCTGCTGTGGCAATTTTCTTGTTGCTGGGACATGGGGAATATGTGGAGAAGTGTTTGGCTAATGGTGTCATGTGATCTGTGGCTCCAGAGTCCAATATCCAATAATGGTTAAAAGGCGTATCTGAGATATTTAATCCAAAAGAAGGTGGAAACTTACTTGAGTATGTCAAAGAACACATACTTGTAGGTTTTTCCAGCTTACTAAGAACGATTTTCACCCTTTCTATCTCCTCTTCCCTTGACATTATAGCAAAAAGGTGCGATGCAATAGCAATGCAGGCTGTCGTCTTAGGATTAAGAAAAATGCAGCAGCAATGCAGGCTGCCGTCTTAGGGTTAAGAAAAATGCAGCAGCAATGCAGGCTGCCGTCTTAGGGTTAAGAAATATACAGCAGCAATGTAGGCTGCCGTCTTAGGGTTTATCGCACGCAGACAGAGCTTCCTAGATCGGAAGCTCTGATACCATCTGGAAAATTAGATTAACTGAAATATGATTTTTTATTATATCAACACAAAGAGATGATATAAGATATATACAGGAGACCTAAGCTATTTTAGGAAATATAATAACTCTATTTTATGCTAGGATCCCTTGATTTATGAGATTGTTCCTAATTATTCAAATGTGTACAGATTACAAGGAAATATACAAATTTCCTGATTTATTATTTCCTAAAATACTATTTGATTTCCCATAAAAACTAAAATAAAGTCCATTAATTGATTAATCCAAAACACAATTTGGTCAACCAACAATACTTGTTGAAGAGCTTCATTTGGTTCCCTTACTCTAGCCTAGGTCATGTTCACATCAAAAGCTAATACTATATCTCAGAAAAAGTAAATGATGAGACACAGCATTAATTGCTGAAACCCTTTTTCTTTGCAACTTTAATATTTGTCCATCAGAAGAATGAAAATTATAGATATTATTCCCCAGCTTGGGTGTGGTTGACAGGATCTTTGGCTTGTGATTATGTTATAGGGAGCGTCCAAAATACCAAATGAAGGAAGAAGACCAGGAAACACCTAGAAATGTCTCAAGAGGGATGCGGGAGGCATCAGATACTGTAAAAGTGGCAAGAGATGTAAGAGGTGAAGAAAATAATCGACCCAGGTAGGTTATAACTGTTGGCTACTAGTTTTTAGTTTACACATAGAATTTTTATGGACTGTTTCTAATTTGCAGTGATCAGGGTAAAACCCTGAAAAGTGCTGGATGGGACTTCAATATTGGTGGATCGCATGGTACTGGAACCTTTCGAAGTGTTTCTCGGCCACCTCAGTTTAGAGAGAAAAAGATTGAAGTTTCACATAATCAGCTAACCCAAAGAAAACCTCCAGAGAGTTGTTATCAAGGAGGATCTGCCAATAGAAGTGCACTTAATGAGCCACTTGAAAGTTCTGCTAGAAGAGATATTAGAGTTCCCCACCATGATGAGCATCTGGATAATCACCTTGAAGATGTAAATGATTCTTACTCTGTGTGTCTTTGTCAAATAAAATAACCTAATCAATTGAATGATATATTTAGAAGCCACGTCTTCACAGAGGAACTTTTGGTGTTTTGGTATTTATAAAACATGGGATGTATGATTAATGCTTAACCAGTCAACTCTAAATAATTACCTACTGAGCTTAGATACTTGAACTGAAACTTGTAAAATTTTCTGTACAGCCAATATTGCTACCCATTCAGCGGATATGAACAACAGTTAAATTGTCCGTAGTGGTATAATTATTTGGAGAAGTCATCTCTATAATATTATTTGAAAGAATTGTGGCGATCATGAACTATGTGAACTTGTTGAAGTTTCATTTTGAACAACCTGGGCAGCTTTTACCTTCTGAAATGTTCAATTTGCAGGATGAATTATCTGGAAACGGATCAGGAACTGTTGTTATTCGATCTCCAAAAGGGTCAAAGTCATCTGTATTCGGTGACCATAGCTCTCGGGTATGTTCAAGCTGTGTTACTTTGAGTAAAAACTGATAACTTCTTCTTATAGCTGTTCAGAAAAATCACAAACTGAGAATTTTAATTAAATGTAGTCTAGTAGCATCTATGCTTCATTTGATGATGCTTCTACAAGTGGGACTGTTGTTGTACGTGGCCAGCATGATGAGCCTGATTCTCCACAGCCACTAAGGTCACGATTGGGACTTAATGACAGAAATTCAAATGCCTCAATGGAAGATAGTGCGGCAAATCTTGCTGAGGTTCTATTTCTGTGATAAAAATTGTAAATTTAACCTGAGTATTGATTAATTTAGCACAAATCGGCCTCCCCCTTGCTTGTGTATAGGTTTCCCCCTTTCTTGTGGTACAATATATTATCATTTTCTTTTGCTATATAATTTCCTGAGTTACCCACCCAGTTTGTTTTGTCGGAGGTATATTCTTAAACTACTTCCTAAACACCTGTGTTCGAAAAAGTTTCACTTTTTGTTTAATTGTCATTAATTACGAGACTTGTTATATTTGTGATTACTTGTTCAAATTGATATTTTTCTTACAAACAGTATTTTCCCACATGTTTGTCTCCATAGGCAAAGGTTGCTATGCAAGGAGGGCTCAGGAAAGTGAGTTCTCGAGAGAGATTGGCCTGGGGAAAAGTCAACAATGAAAGACAGGAAGAGAAGAAAGATCGAAAGACTAGCAGCGCTGATTCTTCAAGGTACATCCGTAGCTATAGAGCTAGTAATTTTTCCGGTGCTGAATTAAAAGTGTTCTTATACATTCTTAGGGATTTATTTCTTTTTCAGACTTTACGGCGAATATGATGCACACACGGGCATATTAAGATCACATCATGCTAGTATTGATGAAGGAAGTTCTAAAATAATGTCTTCGTCAGTGCCATTATCTGTTCTACTTGTTCCTTCATTAAAAGAGGTAAATTCGTATATTTATTCCATCCTTCCATGTCTAAGGAGTGTGTTAGAGTAAACATTGTACTATGACTTCCTTTCATTCTAAATAAGTTTGTAATCCAAATATAGCATCCATCCTACATTGTTCTAATTGCTCCTCAAGATTCATAATTAAAATTGTTTCGTATATATATATATATATATATATATATATATATATAATTTTTAGTTTTGAGTATATGATGCACTGGCTTTACTTATTTATTGAAAATTGATTATTACTACTAATTGCATACATGATGAAGACTTGGCATCACAAAAACAAAGCGAAATTGTAAATGTAGAAACTTCTATGGTGTTTCTCTGGGCTCTAGGAAAAATGTTATGATTTGTGCTTGTTATGCAGGCCATTGCTGATGATCCAGAAGGGTCAATTGTGCGGGCAGTGATCAATTCTTTTATAAACATGGAGGGCACAAAACCTAAATCCTGTGATGTTTTCGTGAAACAGTTGCTTCACCGATTGGCAAGGTTTGCCTTCTACTCAAGTTCTTTAGACAAACCAAAAAAGGAAAATATATGCATCTCATTCTCTTGTGCAGTTCAAAGGAAGATTCACTGAAGGACCTGCGGGGACTAGCGGTCCAACTATTTAGCAAGACCAGGTCCACCGAAGAAACCCGAAATGCAGAGGCTGATGACCGGAATAAACAACAAAACAATAGCAATTTAAGTCCACTAGCAAGATTTCTTCTCTCGAGGTTTATGGAATTTATCATTTCCCCCGTTAATAACTATTCTTAAAAGTAGTACTAGTTATGGTTCATCTTTTCATAACACTCTCGTTCTATCTTTATATTCACATCATGTGGCATTGAATATGTTTGTGAACGATCTCTGGTTCTTTGTTTGACAGATGGCATGGCCAAACCTCACGGTATCTAAACTCATCTTGAGCCGAGTTAGAAGTTAACATTTTCTGTGCTGTCTCCATTTATGCATTTTTTTCCTGTTAATTGTACATATATTACTGTAAGAAATTGTTTTTCTATGTTCTATTAGTTTTGTTAATAATTTCTTTATTTTACTTATGTTTTTTGCTCATATTGATAGCGACAGCAGCGCTGTATAATTTAGAGGGTTTTCTATGTTACAAGCAAATTGTAACAGATACATTGTTTTGTATTTCTAGTAGTTGTCTCTTTGCAAATTGGGATAATAAGCCAATATACGAGTTAAAGTGACAAATATCTCATTGATTATTCTAGTTCCCTTTGATCAGTTACACTTTGTTTGGATGGGGTGACTGAAAATGAGGAATTGGAAAAGGAAAGAAAAGAATAGAATAATAGTTGTATGCGAAATTGTTTGGATTAGATAAAAAAAAAGAGTGAAAAGTGATTAATTTAAAAGAAGTAGAAAGAGATGGTAATTATTTCTAGGTAATATAATATGCCCTTCATTCCTTACTATGTAAATTTAAATATGCAAATCACAAAACCGGCTGGATAAATATGTTGATTTTAGGCTAAATTAACTTACATAATTGTTTATGATAAAAATATAATTAATTATGCATAATGGATTATTTAGATGTATGTAAATACTTATTCAAAATTACATATTTATTATGCATAGATCATAATAATCAATTATTCACCTGTGAACATCTTCCTAGCTAACCCTTGATTTCAACCTCAAAGATGAACAATAAGTTACGTAGATGATTGCTTGTTGGTACTTGCTTCTTATCTTTAAGATTCAGTTTTGCATTTTATCTTGAAGTATTCTTGGCTTTTGCCCAGCTCAAACAATGGAGAAGAGCATAATTATTATGGAAAAGTAAGAGCATCACATGCTATTTCTATAGAAGAAAAAAGGGGCATTTTAGATATTTTGCATTTATCAATCTCTCTTTGCATTGTTTTCACTTGCTTCACGGAGGGATTAAAAAAGTTGTGGCCCAAGTTGTGGCCGGCATCTCCTCACTTCTCATAAAATGCATAACAAATAATCTCAGATGAGCTAGAATCTCTTCCCTATTTTAACTAATGCTACAGGAAACACCTCAAAGCAGAAAAAAAAAATACTGTCTTCAACTTTGAAGTTTATTTTCTAACAAAAATGATTGTTTGACGATTCAAAATAACACTATAAATGTTGTGTTATTTTGAATTATCTATTGATTGTTTCTCACTGCCAATTTTTAAATATATTAACTTATATGATTCCAATAAACAGAACAATTGCACCAAGTGGAAATAGTTTCCAAATTATCATGACATAGTCAAACAAACAGAGAACTCAAAAAAATCTCAACATATTTATGATGACTTTCAATTCAGAAATCATTGAACTCAAAAAAAATCTCAGCATATTTATGATGACTTTCAATTCAGAAATCATTGTTTTGCGAACACTTGCAAGCCATTGTATTGCTCAACCTACAGGATATGTTTGTAGAGAACTATACCCTTTTGAAAAAAAAAAAAAAAACATTAGTAAGTGAACTGGAATAGAAGTTTGGTTCAATAGTGTCTTGTATTTGATTTTGTATAACCTCTTCAATTAAATATTAATATTATTTAACTTGAAAAATAAACATAATTAATTAATCCCGGCAAAGAGTTTTCATTTTTATTTATTTTTCATTCTAATAGCATTTGAAAAAGTCTTAAAGCATTATCATAAACATGTTTTCCTAATATATTTGTGATTGCAACAGTTGTGATGGATTTTATGATAGCCACTTCACCTAAACCACTTGTAGACAGGTTCCACTTGTCAAAACTCACAAGTCACACAACAAATTCAGTTTTTCATATGAAGCTCAAGTAGTTATGGAAGGTTTGCAGTGAGTGAACCACTTGATCAAACAGATCAATTCAAAAGTTTGTGTATTTTGTAAAACATATCTTACTTTCATTTACTTTTAACTACTTATAACTCTTCCCCACGCCTATATAACCTTTTTAACAACTTGCATGGCAAAGTTAACCACTTCCATATTATTGTGAATCTGTTAATCATATCAATAATTATATATAATTACAATAATTTACTTTTCAAGCACTATTAAAACAAGATTAAATATATCTATACACATAGTTAACCACTCAATTTATAGCAGGATGATTATCAGTACTCTTATTTCAATTAATATCTCGGTAATAAGTACATTATGCTTAATCAATTCTGAGTAGCAGAAAATCATATGCTACATTGCATCTCTTCAAGATAACACTAGAAATATATCTGTCTAAAGATTTTAGAAAAAAAAAAAGTAAAAACTGTTTTAAAAGATACAAATAAGTTGAATAGAGATTAATGTTTTTTTTTATTTCTAATTTTATTATATGCAATGTTTAGAGGTTAATATTAAGAATTTTTTATTATTATTTGAATTTGGTTTTTTTCTTCTTATAAAACAGTTTGAAGACATTTCAGTAAGGTTGGTTTAGAATACTTTCATAAAATAATATGAAAAGTGTCTTTATTTTTATTATTATTTAAACTTGTTAATATTAGTCAAAATTTATACTCCCTCCGAAGGATTTTTTTTTTTCAACTATGATTTATCATCTTTCTCTTTATTTTAATATCACATCAAATTTGTGACCTATCTTAATAATTATTTATTCTAATAGTTATTTATTCTAATAGGTTCATTTAATTTAAAATATTCTATATAGACACTCTCAAAACTTTTGGAATATGGGTTATATAAAGAAAAATATTAGTTACTCATGTGTACTCATCTCATTCATTTAATCTAATATTTTATTAATCTAATATTTTATTAATGTAAAATAAATATTATTACATTCTATTCTAACGTAGAATAGAAGATAAGATGACTATTTTTAAAACCTCTTGATTAATCATTTATCAAAATACTCATTTCTAGGTTTTATTTTGAGTATCCATATATATATATATATATATATATATATATATATATATATATATATATATATATATATATATATATATATAACATAGGCCTAAATTGTAATTGATTATAACTATTATTCCTCTGTTGAGTAAGTGGATGATACTATTGAAAGAAGTTGTGGTTAGTAGTGTTGTGACCCCACACTTCTCTTGGATGGTTACATAGGTCGACTTTGGGCTTAATAACTGTTGGAGATTAATACTATTAATTACAATAATTTAATTATGATAAAGATTTACTGATAATATAATCAATTTTATTTTGTTATTTATGCATACGTACAACATTTATATGATGAATATTTTCCTGATTTTGAGGGATATATTAGTGTATATGTTTATTACCTTGTATTCTATTTATACCTCTTATCTTTTCCAAAGTAAGAAATACACAACGTATTTTCTGCATGGTATCAGAGCTCGATCTGGACCATCCCTAACCTAGCGCATCCAACCATGAAAGAGAATAAGGCAGGAGGTTCGACCACCAGTTTGGTCGAAGGAACTGCTCTTCCTATCACTGGTCACAAATTGAATGGGTGTGTTTAGTTAAAATCTTCCTCGGAGACTCCAAGTGTCCAGTAGAGGGTGACTCTAACCTCAACAAATGGCAACTAGAAAACAGTTTAGTCATGTCAGTCATGGTTACTCAACACCATGACCAATGAAATTAGGGAGAATTTCATGTACTATGACAATGCCAAAGAGATGTGGAATACATTGAAGGAAACCTACTCAAATGTGGATAATACGTCTGCGGTATTTGAGATCAAGAGCATATTTCATGAACTACGACAAGTTGATTTCTCAGTCACTGAGTATTTTAATACACTCAGCCGACATTGGCAGCAACTAGACATATATGAAGACATTTAATGGAGTTGTGTCAAGGATAAGAACAAGTATAAAGAATTGGTGGAGAAAGATAGGATCTACAAGTTCATATTGGAGCTGAACACAGAACTTGATGAAGTTCGAGGGAAAATCCTTGGAATCAAACCTCTTAAAACAATCCGGGAAATATTTTCGGAAGTGAGAAGGGAGGAAAGCAGGAGGAAAGTACTGCTTGGAAAGTTAAGTGAGCCCCACCCATTGAAGGCACAACAATGACAACAAGGGGGAACCAATCTCATCCATCTAAAAAGAAGAATTGGCCATGGTGTGATCAATGCAAGAAATTGGGACATATTAAGGAGTAAATGGAAGCACTACAGAAAATTCTATGATATACTAATGTCATGTTCATGTTGGCCTTAGTTGGATTAGATGTATAGTGAATAGCCAGGCTGACAACAAACCCAATGTCGGGTCTGGTGTGAGTTGGGTAGATTAGCGTCCCAACTAGTCTTTGATATCTATCTTTATCAGCTGGTGGACTTTCCTCTTTATCTCTATTTATTAACTACCTTGCACCTAAGCATGTCAGTTTCTTGAAATAAGTCCAGTGTATATTTTCTTTGTGATACATAAATACCATCCTTCGTCTAAGCAACTTCCATCTCTAGAAAATATTTGAGCTAGCCCAAGTCCTTAACTTCAAATTCCTTGGCCAAAATTCCCTTCAAATGCTTGATTTGATCATAATTGTCTCCTGTGATAACGATATCATCAACATAAACAATGAACAGGGCTACCTTTCCTTTTGTGGAGTGTTTGACAAACATCATGTGATTTGATTGACATTGGTCGAATCCATCTTCTTTTACAACCCGAGTCAATCTATCAAACCATGCTCTCGGAGATTACTTAAGGCCATATAAAGATTTTCGGAGCCTACACACCATGTGTTGAGGTTTTTGATGACTCAAGTTGTGGAGGAATTTGCATATAGACTTTCATCTAGTTCACCACTTAGGAAGTCATTCTTGATGTCTAGTTGATAAAGTGACCAATCTAAATTTACAGCTAAAGAGAGTATAACTCGGATTGAATTGAGTTTGGCCACCGGTGCAAATGTCTCGTTGTAGTCCACTCCATATGATTGGGTAAACCCTTTTGCCACCAGTCGAGTTTTCTACCGGTTTATACTACCATCTGCATTGTATTTGATTGAGAATATCCACTTGTATCCAATCGATTTCTTCCCTTTTGGTAGGGTAGTAATTTCCCATTTGCCATTTTTAACCAAGACGACCTCGACTTCTTCTGTTACAGTTGTTGCCCATTTAGGTTGTTGGAGTGTCTCTTGAACATTTCTTGGGATATATATGCTATCAAGAGCTGCCACAAACGACTTATACCCCTGTGACAAATTTTTATAGGACACATAATTCCCAATGGGGTGTTGAGTGCAAGATCTCACCCATTTTCTTAATGCAATAGGAATGTCAATGTCATCAATAGGTTTGGGATTAGAAATGATATTACCTAAGGAAAACTCATTTTCTGAAGCTTGATTTGATTCATGACTTTGCTTTGGAGCTATACTAGACTCTATTTCCTTTCTTTCATGTGCAGTCTTAGCTGGTTCTATATTTGCCATTGTAATTTCCTCTGCTGTAGGTGTAATATTGGCTGGTTCTGCATTTGCAGCAGAGTGAGCTAACTCAAATCCCAAAATTTGGGATTCTGAAAATTGGGATTCTACCACTTCAATTAGATAAGTATGCTTCTCTTGAATACCAACTTTAGGGTAATAAGGTTAATTCTCAAAAAAGGTGACGTCCATGGTGTGGTAGAATTTCTTGGTTTTAGGTGAATAATATTTATACCCCTTTTATTGAGGAGAATAGTTGAGGAAAATGCATTTTCTGAATTTTGGGTCAAGTTTACTGCAATAGCCATGTGTGTTTTGTAGTAGTGTATCTTTTTTCATCTAAAATTAATTTGTGTAACTATAGGCTGTTTAAAGTGTACTACAATTTCTGTAGTTCTTTGATTTATGAAGCTTGAAAACATCCTCTCTCCTTGTTTAATTCAAACTAACAATCAAAGTAAGTTTCCCATTTAAGTTTGATTATATCTAGAAGGCATCTTAAATAAGATTAAACAATGGACTTCTCTGCTTAGAAACTTGGACCAAGATTGCTGTTGCAGATAGATAACTATTAGGAAAATAAATGCGTGCCCACACCACAACTGAAGCAGGTGTGAAAAATCAGAGTAAAGTGGTTCTGGCACAAAGTAGTGCAGAGTCTTTATTACTATCATAATAATTATGATATCATTACAACGATGTGAAACAGTTAACGGACTATTTATCTGCTACGTAAATTTTGTGTAGCAGAAAACAGCTGCTGCTTCACTCGTTCAGTGTTCACACTTGAAATACATAAAAAAGCAATACAAAGGAAGGCTCTTGGTAGAATTTTGCAACGAGAACATGACACATAAAATTAAGAGAGCTGTTCGCAGCCTCTAATTTGATGAGTTTGTAGGTTCACTAAACGTAAGGAACAGGTATTCTCTGTGTGTCAGAGCCAGTTACCATGTCATCCCACAGCAAATTTGAAAGTTGCATCGTTAATTCCCCAACACTTCCTGTCGAACATATAAAATTGAATAAACAAAAAAAGGAGAACACAGGAAAAAGAGAGACTCGACCAACATGAATTATGTCAAAACAGACTATCATAAAATGTTCATGTGCATCAAGAAAGAGAAGAAAGTAAGCAAAAGTTAAGACTTGAGCCTAATATGCCAAACAAAAAGCAGTTTATATCAGATAATTGCTGATAGTCTGTTATTAAAGTACCAACTTACCATTGCCAATGGGTTGATCATCCCAGATGATGATAGGCAATAGAGGAAGTGTGCTTCCCACAAACATCATTTCAGCAGCAGCTTTACCTTCTTCCACAGTTAGCTTTTTAGTTGCTACACCTTTCAGAAGCCCTTGATCAACCAACTTGGGTGCCAATTCAAGGAGCCTTTTTGCAGTGCAACCATGTAGGATGTTATCAAAAGGAGGCATGAGAAGTTCTTTGTCTTGAGTTATGAAAGCAACATTCACATTTGGACCTTCAGCAATATAACCTTCCTCATCCACCCATATAGCAGAAAATGCTCCTTGCTCTTCAGCTTCCATTACTGAAAGGACATTTGGAAGATAATTCACATTTTTAGTTGTGGCAAATAGAGGAGGCTTCATTGGCACGTTGGAAGTAATCACTTTAACTCCCTCTTTGCATTGGGAAAAATCATCCTCAATGACTACTGCATAGAATGCAGATATTGGACATCCTGCTGATGACAGCAAGAAATTCCCAGGACCTGCACTGAGCCAAAATCTTAAAGTTCCCTTCTTGCATTTTGATGCTGCAGTCAGTTGTATAATAATGTTGCGAAGCGTTGATAGAGGAAAGGGAGAGGATATCTTTGCTTTGGAGGCTGACCTTAGGAATCTATCAAGGTGAACATCCAATTCATAGAGGTATCTGGAAAGGACAAGCAATAGAAGAGCAAAGTCAGAATAATGTGCTTCTAATGCAAAAGAATGAAAATTTAAAGTAAAACCCAATGCTATGTTTCCCATGGGTATCCAACTAATGTAATTGAGTTGCATAGAGTAAACCGAAAATTAGCATTACCTACCCATCTAGAACAATGGATGTATCAAACACACCATGCCCTCTGTGTACCATGTGATCATCGATGGGGATTACCATCATTGCTGGATCAAGTGTGATACCTCCAAAAATACTAGAATACATAGCAGGGTATGGTTGTTTCTCCACTGAACTCCATATTTCATGAAGATTTTCAAGCAACTGAACAATGCAACCCAATGAAAATTGCAAAGATTAATGGAAAATACATAACTTTATGCAATTAATGATGGCAAAAAGTAAGTATTAAGTATAGATATGTCCAAATATGCTTTCAACTCTCTCAAGTCTCCATCATCATTAGTCAATGGACTGGACATTTGTGAGCAGTTTGATGACAGCCTAATCGTAGGTGACTCAATAAGCTTAATAATCATCAGTCTAATAATATATCCCAACTTATATAATCTATCTTTGTCACCTCACTAATCAACACGAGATATTGATAGCATGTTCAACTATTTTATACAAATCCTGGTGAATTGAAAAGAAGATTCAGAAAAAACTTTTGCTCCTTCCCTCTTTCTCCCTTATCTGGTTTGCCAACTCCAATTGTGAAACAATAAGCTTTGGGTTCTTCCACACAAACAGATTTAAACAATTTGACTCCATAATAACCAATAAATTCATAGACTTACTTGAAAAGGTTACGATGGTAAACAAAAAGCTTAAGAATCTTACCTCGGATGACGAAGAGAACACATGAACTCTAAAATCGTCGTCATTTTCAACCTCTGGGATAACCCAATAAAAAAACTTAAGTAAAAAGTCAAAGAAAAGAACAACAGTATCAACTTACACCATGTTAATTGAAAAGACCAAACCGCTAAAGTGTCAATAAAATTTAGTGGAATCACATAAACTGAAGATAATCAGATCTCAAACTCACCAGGGGCCTTCTGAGAGGTCATAGTGGGATTCCCTATGTTCAAAGCTTTAAGTCAAAATAGTTATCAAACAGTGAGTATATATATTTGGAATTGGAAATATGATGACAACAGTGGAGGTCACAAAAAAAATTAACTAATAACAAGAACACAAGAACATCGCAGAGAGCAATTTGAATTATTGTTTGTTTGGTTCTTGTTTTCCAGACGGATTAAACTCTAGTGTTGTTGTTTTTGCTGGGTTGTTCTTGGAGTGGTTATCTCACCGAACATCATTAAAGTATCAATGGACATGACATCTATAACAAAAGAAATGAAATTATCGATAGTGGACACGGGATATGTCTGTTGGATCAAAAAAATATATATATACTTCGTACAAGAGAATCTCTCCATACGTTATCTTTCCTGTCCATCAGTCATCAATCACTATCTATTTTTATTTTTTATTCTTTTGAAATTAAATAATTAAATAAAATAGGATTTTAAAAGACTTTCTAATTTTAATAAAAATTCTAATATATTCTATCAAAACCTGTTATATATAAGTACTGTGATATGAATTTTTTTTTAAATAATGAAATCCTTATTAATATTGTTTTATAATTTTAGAAAAAATCCATTAATTTTTGAAAATATGAATTATCAAAAATTACGTAACGACCTAAATGAAAATTAAATAAGTATAATTTTAATATTGAAATCAAATTTTTATTATGTTTATATATATATATTAAAAATGAAAAGATGATCATGTGATAAAAAATATAATAATCCGAATTCGAAGTCACATAATGTTTAGATGTAATATTTAATTAGAGTGAACGAGTTAAGTTAGAAGTCATCATTATATTTTTTTTTTATTTGAATATCATATTTAATAGGAAAAATTAGTAATCATTGCATTTTATTTTTATATTATTTTGTACTCGAAATGCATATGATTCTTCCTCTTTTTCATTAGTTCTCGGTTACTTTCATTTTGCCTATTCAACTTGTTTTGGTTTTTGTCCTTTTCGTTGTGCTTTTCTCTTGATTTGCACTTTTCTCTTATTACCATCATTTTTAAGATACCTCATTACTCTTTCACTTTGTTATTAGCATGATGTTTGTTTTGTTTTCTGTAGGTTCTTCGGAGCATGTGTTTCTTCTTATCTTGAAGGAGGTATGTTCCATAGGAGGTGAATATGTTAGACAAATGACATTTAGAAGGAGGTGAATAGATACACAAATTAAAAATGTTTTAAAAATTTATTTTAGATGTCTAATTACTTGTTAATTCAATTTTAATTATCAGATTGAATTTAGATAAAGCGAAAGCGCTATAATCAACAAGGTATAGGGAAATATTCAAGCATGAAGATGTAGGGAAAACAAAAGCCAAAAGTCATAAAGTGAAGAGAAGAGCACACAATAATTTGTACTTGGTTCGGGTATAGTCAACCATACATCCAGTTCTCAGTCACCTCTAACACAAGAGTGACCCCAATTCACTATCTTTAAAATTCAGTTTACAAATTACAATCAACTCAACAGAGGAACCAGTTGTTGAATTATTGGCAAACATACCAAATTATCAATCGTAGTATAGTATTTCGATTAAATAAAAGTCGATCCCACGAGGAACAGTTTCAAAGGAAATTTCTAATTATGCTTACTAAGTAGATTAAAACAGATTAGGTTTTGCAAATAAGAGTTGAATTGAAATTAAATGACAAAGAACTGTAAATTGTTGAGAAAATATCAATTAAAGGTACTTAGGATTGACTTCCTTCCTTATCCCTCTTTTGTAATGGCTATGTCAATTAAGAACGTCAATTAACCTAACAATGTTGATGCTACCTACTCAAATCATCCATGTTGATTCCTCACACATGAAATTCATAAGAAAACCTAATAAATGTTGATTCCTCACACAATTAAGGGATTTTCCAGCATTAGGGTTAGGGTGTTTAAGCACTTGATACATTCATTTCATTCTTGGCAATTAACGTAACAAATATTCTTACCGTGATCTAGGGTTCAAGATATATTTTCCAATCATACCTCAAACAATCAAGAATAAATCATTCAAAAGCATAAAGGATAAGAATAACAACATCAAAGCATAGATTAATATCTCAAAATATCACCATGATACAAAAGAGTTCAAAGGAAGTGCACCAAATCCTAAGAGAATGAAGTTCGCCACTCATGTTGGCCATTACAATGCTCCAATTGATGAAGTGAAGAATTGATGAAGATTAGACAAAACCCTAACAGTAGTCGTGCCTCCTCTCCTCCAAGACTGCTTGCTTTTCTCAAAACACAACTTATCTTTTTATAAGAGAATTTGGGTCGGGCCTTGCATCATTCATTCGCTTAAGCACTCTTCTTTATTTCAATTTTACTCCAATTATGCTGACAATTATGCTCCTTACTCTTGTATCAAGGTATTCTCAAATTCATCTTATATTGGGAGAAAAATATATTAGAATTAACATAAATTAAGTGTTTTTATAACAATTCAAGGCATAATTATATTAACTTTTTACCACTTAACACCAGTAAAGAGTAAACTAATTAAAAAGACAACCACCTCCTTAAAAACCCACTAAGGATGAACACTTCCCTAGAATCCCACTAGGGATGAACACCTCCTCTGAACAAATCAAATGATGAAAAACACCTCATTTGCAACCAACACACAAAGGATGAACACATCTCCAAACAAATCAAAGGGACGAAAATACCTCCTTAAAATCCCACTAAGCATGAACACCTCCCTTGAAAAAATCAAGGGATGAACAAGTTCTGACAGTAGAAACTCTAAACACAGAAACACACTGCTCAAGAGACAGTATGCACTCCTAAACCCTAAAAAGGGGATTTAACAACAACCACTTAAACCCTAAACAGGGAATTTAACATCAACTTCCTAAACCCACAAAGGATGATGACAATAAAATAAGAACAGTCACACTTGGATAATGGAGACAATAAATTGTAGAAGTCTGTAGAATGATAACTCCAAGAACAAAGTGTGATTGACAATGAAAGCGTAGAAGGCAGTATGAAAAAGTTTTCTCAGAAAACCTAAATGTGTTCTATTGTCATGCTCAAAATTCTTTTCTCAAAACTGATTGAATGTAAATTGAATTTTCGAATTCTGTAATAGTGTATTTTTTATTTTTCATCAAACTCATTTAAATAGTAAAATAACATCAAAAAATAGTCGTTGGACATTAATACTTTCATAGAGAAAAATCAAGATGTATTCGAAAACATTTATTCTTCAGAACGGATATATTTTTCAAATTTGAACTGCCAAAATCGATTATGTTACCAGTATAATCAATTATGACAGAGAGAAAATAGTTTTTCCATTTTTGATACATCATAATCGATTATGACAGTGAAAAATGTTGTGTTACGAAATTTTATCACACTTGTGCTTTGGAGGCTTATGCATAATACCACTTCATCAACTTGTACCTCCATATTCAGTATTATAAGACTCTATCTAGTCTTCAGGAATCATCTTGGGCTTGTTTGAATCTTGAATATTATTGACTTGAATCATCATCAAAATCATCTCTTGGGAATGTAGGGACATGTTTCACATTGTCATCAATCTTCCCCTTAGTGTTTTCAGTTCTAGGGCAATCCAACAGGCCATGTAGTGCCTTCAAAATCCAAGACTAATCTAGAACCTTCTTTTCTTGCATGAGGTTTCACATTGTTATCAATCTCCCCCTTATTGCTTTTAGAGTCTTCTAGCTTTGGAAGTACTAAAGGCATTTTCGCTTCCTTTATGAGATGGAGGCAATCTCTGTGGTTACTCCAATGGTAGTTTCTATCATTAACATTGTTTCGTCTTCTCGAAAATGCAAGTTGGGTAAAACAAGAGTAGACCAATGATCCTAGAAGCATAGTGTAGGTGGCCCCATTAAGGCTAGACCTAAGAATAGGATTGCTCCTATTCGTAATCCTGAGTATTATTGGGTGTTGAATGAAGTGCATCATTATAGGTGTAAGTATGTCTTAACGTTTGCCATAGAGAGATTTTGCAAATCCTTTGATATATGTGAATCATCTTATGCTCACATGATGATTGTCGAATTGTGTTCTCATTCTGAACGAGTTTATTCAAGCATCCATGGTGAGGGTTTCATCTTTGTCTATGAGTGTTTGATTAAAGGGTTAGAGATTTTGCTACCCTTTACCTATTGAACATACAAGGATATGGATGTTGAATATACAAGGATATGAATGTTGAATATACAAGGATATGAAGCTTGTAGATTTTGATGATGATTCAAGAATAAAGGACTTAGAGATTTGAAGACTTGTAATCTTATGTAATAGCTATGTTTTTATGTTTTTGAGTATGTAATATTAGAGTCCAAGATAGCCAGCACATAGACCATCCTTTAAAAGCTCTAAAAACTCATTTTTATCAAAATTACACTATGATAATTGATTATCACCCTGAATAATCGATTATTATAGCAAGAAAACCATTTTCAGGAAATCCTCTCTGTGATAATCGATTATCATTTAGGATAATCGATTATCACAGGCTGATAATCGATTATTTGGCCAGATAATCGATTATCCTGGCCCAGTTTTGTTCCCCTGCGAATATGGCTATGAAATAATCGATTATCACTCAAGATAATCGATTATTTGCGTATGTTATGTGTTTTGAAATTCAAATTTGGACCAAGTTTCGAAAACCCTATTACCAATTCTTCTATTTTTGAAAATCCCCAATTCCCAGACCATATTCTCTCTACTTAAGGTTCTCTAAGGCTCTCTGCAAATTAACAAACTTTTTTCATACAAAAGTTAAGAGTTGTGACTTCTAAAGAACTTTTTGTAAGGAAGAAAAATGGGTTTTTGAAACCTAGTGTGGGCTAGAAGCGATAAGAATCACTGAGTGGGTTTCTTGGTGGATTGTGTGTTGTGCCATCTCTAGGAAAAACTGTTCTTCATCCTTTGTGGATTCAAAGGAGGTGTTCATCTCTTGTGTGACTCAAGAG